ACTTTGAAGATAAACCTAATTGTCTATCAAGAAAATTTGAGCTAATTCTATTCTAAAAATGGTGCCAAAATTACAATACTTAACTTTTATGACATCTTTATATGTAATTTTCACTATTAGTACCATCACTATTACATATTTCTATTATTACCCAATGTTTGCTTTTAGCAATTTTTGTTTCATGGCTCCCATTGCAATATATTAGATAAAAAATATTTCTTATCCATTTAAAATTTATAAAGTAAAACACTAAATTACATGTATTTGTACCAGTTACACTCAAGAGTTTTAGTTCAACAGGTCCACACTCCACAGTATATGCATGTACATGTACCTGTACTATTACTAAGTAGGTATCCTGTCTCTGAGATACTCCAGTAAACTAGCAGTACCTTTTGCCAGTACAGCTGGTCTTGGATTACGAAATGAATTACCTCCCAACTCCAAGTGCCTACAGAAAAAAGTCTTTTAAAATACATGTACAAAATAATTAGAATTTTAGCAACAACAAAATTAATTATAAATTTTAGACCTGCAATTTGGTAAAAATTTTTTGTGAAATTCGATGGGAAGGCTACAATATTAATGCATTAAATGTTTCCAATAATAAACTCCCATCAATTAGTCTATACAATAATAGACCTTCACAAAATTAAAAAATATATATAAACTCACTTCAGCCATTGAACCAGTCCCAGTTGGGGTGGTACCTGTGATATGTCATTGTTGCTAACATCAAGCGTCATTAAAGACCTCATCTTTAAAAACCCATCAACATTTAGGAATGATATTTGATTGTCACTGGCCAGTAATGTCTCAAGACTAGGGCAGTCATAAATCACATCTGGTAGTGAGGAGAAACGATTGAATGATATAATGAGAGAACGTAAACTGGAGCAAGAGGAGAGAGATGAAGGTAGATCATCTAAGAGATTCTTTCTATCAATAAGAAAGAGAGTAGAAATAAAAGTAGGTCAAAATGACCAGGAGGGTGTTTTTAATCTTTATGACTTTTTTTATGCATATACATGTTCTTATGTTGCATAGAAAATTTGAATTCATTGGCATCAAAATTGAATTTTTTATGAGTTTTTTAAAGTTACTCAAAAATCGGGTCAAAGTCCCTGTAAATTTTGCCAAAAGTGACTAGGTAAGAATTCTCCATTTTAATAATTTTTTCTGATACATATTCATGTTATCATGTTGCGTAGCAAGTTTCAACTGATTAAAATCAAAATTGGATTTTTAAAATGAATTTTAAAAGTTACTCAAAAACTGGGCCTAAAGTCCCTATACTATAGTACAGGGATTTTGGTGAAGTTTGGCCGAAAATGACAAGGAGAGAACTCTTTGTTTTTATATTTTTTTCTGATACATATACATGTACTAATGTTCCCTAGCAAGTTTGGGTTGATTCCAATT